GCTGGCTTTTAGAAAGGTAGAGTATGTAGAGATATATTGCTTACCAGGAGATCATACTGATATTAGATTAAGAACTAAGGCTGGTCCTAATGTGGTAATGAAACTGGACATGACCAAGGCATATGATAGGTTGTCTTGGCTTTTCTTAACAAAGTGTTGAGAAAGCTGGGCTTCTGTGAGAGGTTCATTGGCATGATTTTTGATTTGGTAGGGAATAACTGGTACTCAGTACTTATAAATGGTCAACCAAGAGGTTTTTTCAAATCAACTAGGGGTGTGAAGCAAGGGGATCCATTGTCTCCAACACTTTTTATTCTAGCTGCTGAGGCTCTTTCTAGGGGATTGAATTCACTACATCAAAATCTCTATTTCTGTGGATTTGGGCTGCCAAAGTGGAGTCCAAAAATAAATCACCTTGCTTATGCAGATGATACCATCATTTTTTCCTCTTCAGATGCCACATCACTGAGGCTGATTATGGAGATATTATATCTCTATGAAGCTGCTTCAGGTCAGTTGGTGAATAAGAACAAGTCTGCTATCTATATGCATCACCTTACAGATCCAGAAGTAGTAAGGAAAGTTGAGAGGATTACTGGTATTGGAAGCAAGGATTTTCCATTTACTTATCTAGGATGCCCTATATTTTATGCAAGAAGGAGGTTTGATTATTACCAGCCAATGATCACAAAGGTTCTTGACAGATTACAGTCATGGAAAGGAAAATTGCTTTCTATAGGAGGCAGGGCAGTCCTAATTTCTAGTNTACAAGACAGGGTGTGGCTTGGTGCATGCTATTTGTAGACAATACTGTGTTAACTGACGAAACTAGTGATGGTGTCAACCAAAAGTTTGAACTATGGAGAAGCAATCAAGGGTGTAAAGATTTAAAGATAAGTAGAAATAAAACAGAATATATCGACCATATGTTTAGCTAGCATATAAAGAATAAATTTGAGCTAGAGATTAGATATGACTGTGATGTCTAATGCAGACAATCCATATTTTTAGGCTTAGTATTTCAATACAACGGTATAAGTATAACAGATGAAAACATGACATAGAATCAAAATAGCATGGTTAATATGGAGAAGCGCTACAAAAGTGTTAGATGATATGACCTACAAAATACAAAGCAAGCCCATTGAATAGTTAAAAGATCAATAATGCTGCATAGGAGTGAATATTAGGCCATTCCACAAAAATGAGTGTCGTAGAAATGCAGATGTTAGTATGTACCGTCATACAAGATTAAATATATCACATTCACCAGAAGTTGCAAGTAGCATGTATAGATGAAAAAGGAGAAGGCCGCGCGAGACGGTTTTTGGTCATGTCCTATGTAGACCTCGAAATATACTAACCCGTAATGTGAAAACCATGATGATTAGAGCTCTCAAAAGTGGACGAGATAGACCAAATATCAACAAAGAAAGTTGTCAGATAACACCTAGAATTTCTTGGAGCCCATTCGGACTTGGCAAAGGATAGAAAACGATAGAAGCAAAATATTTGTATAGGTGATACCAACTAGTCGGAATTAAGGTTAATCGTTGTAGGGACACTTGCAATAAGTCCGTATTTGACATGACGTGAGATGGGTGCGAGAAATAGAGAATTCTTAGTTTTTATGAATCCCTAAGTTGTCCTGGAAAAGAAATTATCAAGTAGTTGAATGAAAACCTCCCAAATGGAGCAAAATGAATATAAGGTTTCATATAGACTATTCAAGCAGGTCTGGCTTTGAAATGGAGTTGTTTTCTTGTGTTCATACAAACTCATAAAAAAAACTTAAAAGTCATGCAACTCAAGCAAGTAGTAATCCTGATCAGTGTGTGATAACAATGCCTACTCTGTAGCCACCTAAACCTAAAACTTGAAAGTGCAATAGCGAACTACGAGATAGGCAGAGAATTACTTGGCTTCAGATCGCGGTGAATAATGCCAATTGCATGCAAATACTCCATTGCTCGAGAGATTCCCAATGCAAAACTTAGAGAAAGTTTCAGATCTGGACAATGTGGTCGGATGCTCCATAAGTACTTCTGAAGGGTGCCACCGCTCATTAGCTCTGTAACTAACATCAATGCTGGTTCCATGGATGCACCAATAAACTGTTTCAACAATTTACAACACATATAGCAACCAATAAAAAGAGAATCAATTACCATACAGAAGGATGTTTTTAAGGCAGTCTCAGAACAATAATGTGACATGAGAGACCGGACTTCTTTTCTCTTAATGTCTAAATATAGTACTCCTAAGAAATATAACAGGACCTCTTATATAAAAAATTTACAGGGTAGCACCAAATATATGATGTTATTACCAAAGTATGAATACATAGTCCCCATAGCTATAGCTTTTATTCTCTTTCTACATTGGACTTTAAAGACCAATCATTGCCTGATTTTGGGTCTATTAAGTTGTAAAGTGATGGCAGCAAAAGCAAGGTGGACAAAGTGAATGAAATTTAACCAGTAGCACTATTTTTTTATTGAACACCACATACCTTCACAATGTTGTCATGCTTCACTTTAGATAGCAAAAGGACTTCCCTCTGAAATTTTTCTTTCCGTTCGGGACTCACATTTGCCGATCTGTCTGGCTGTATTACTTTTATTGCAACAGGCATGGATTTATATCTGGAACAAGTATTACAAAAGGTGCTTTAGAAAAGCAGCACTCTGAATAAAAAGAACTGAAACGCAGGATCACGTTTTGGGAGTGCAAATGATAGTAACCAGAAAGTTGTGTTAACTAACGTGAATGAGAGGTAATGGTTAATTTAGAAGATCTTAGATAGATGTTTTGGGTATATACCGTATAGAACTACAGTAGATCCTCTCAGAATTAAATTCTTCTGAGATGGGACAAACCAGTTATTATCAATAATGACTCGACCAACTATGAGATATTATTCTAAGCACATCTACTACAACATAAATCTGGCTATCTTCACGTTCGTATCAATGAACCAATGAAGGGAGCAGGAAACTAAGTTTTCAATGGTTAGGCAAGGTGAAACTACAGATAATGGTTGAAATACACATAGGGACACTTCAATGAAAACATTTAGAGGGTGTTTGGATTGGCTTAAAAGCTGGTCAAACCAGCTTAAAAGCACTTTTGGGCTTATTTGAGTGTTTGGATAGACCAAAAAATTGCTTTTAAGCCAAATGCTTTTAAGCTGAAATACTCAAAACAAGCTAAAAGCAATAAGTTGAGGTTGCCCAACTTAGGGGTCGTTTGGTAGGATGCATTAGATAAAATAATGCATGCAGTAGCTTTGTGTATTAATAATACCTTGTTTGGTACACTTTTTGAACCTATGCATTAGTTATGCAAGCATTAGTTATACGCCCTATTTGGTATTATCCTATGTATAACTAATGCATAAGAAACCATGGTATTAACAATGCAATGGGTTTTAATGTATGCATTAGCTTAGATAAAGACAAAATTGTCCTTCAAAATTTATGCTTGATTAAAATATATTATTAAATTAATGCAAGTTTGAAATAATCCAAGAAAGTGGAAAATAAAGTTATATCCCTAGTAAATAAATAAATACTTAACGTCTTTTCTTTTATAAATAGTATTCAGTTTTATACTACAATATAGGTAGACAAATCAAATAATTTTTTTCAAAACTTTTTTCATATAAAAACATTCCTCAATATATGTTTCTTTTAAAAAGATAAAGTGATGGACTGGTTATGAGGGTATTTTTGTAAACAAACAATTCTTTTAGAAATTGTGCAATGCTTTAATACATCAAACCAAACAATGGATAAGAAATATGTTAGCATAACTAATACCATCATTACTAATACACCCTATTCAGCATTATTCTTATACACTCTACCAAACGACCCTTTATTACTTTTTGGCTTAAAAGCTTCTTATGTTTGACCAAGTAATTTACCCTACTATCCCTTTCACTTTCTCTAAACCCCAAAACTACCCTTCCCTTACAAATTAGATCCCCGTGTCAGTCCTAATCACCATTTTTAATCTTGCCGTTGTTGCTGTCATTCTAAAAAAATTGTCAATTTCGTGAAGTTCTTAACGTGAAGCAAACGGTAGTTTTTTAAATCAATGTTTGATAAATTCCAATATTTGTAAATATTATTCTTTTAGATTCTTTTTTGGTTCCATAACATTTAATTTTTTTGGTCGTTGAATCCTTCCTTTTTTTAATTGGTGTAACTATATTCTAAATCAAATCATTCGATGAGTTTATATGTTACCACATAATTTGAAGCTATAAACGGAAAAACAACTTTTTTGACAAATAATTAATTATTGCATGTTATTTTAAATGAATAATTTATATTTAGGCAATCAGTTTAAATTGAAAGTGAATTAAATTATAAATTATTTGTATATGCGTCAACTTAGAATAAAATATTATAGTAATCATCTTCATTATAGTGTTAACAACTTTAAGGATATTTCAGTCATTTTAACAGAAAAAAGTGCTTACCAGCACTTGTTTACCAAACACTTCAACAACTTTTTTTCAGTTTCAGCACTTTTATCCAAATTCCAAACACGTAACTGCTTATTTTAAAAAAACAAGCTCCAACACTTAAAAAGTACTTTTAAGCACTTATGCTTAAAAGGCACTTTTTTTAATCCAATCCAAACGGGCTCTTAGAATTGAAGTGGAACTCAAGTCAATATACTCCAAAATTACACATTCTCTAGTTTCATTTGAAATGAAGTCACAACAACTCATATAAACCATAATGGGGTTTGTATTTTAAATGGACGCAAAAGATTCAGGATAATAGATGTGAAATATATTGGGCCAGATCTCTCGGTCCAAATGGGCCCTTATATAACTTCATCATAACTGACAATGTTATAAGTAGGATATGAAACCATTTGCTATTCTAAAAAATGTATTTAAGAAAATCTGAAAGCAGTTATCTTATAAATTCTTTAACCATTGGTATTAAAATTACTATATGTGAGTGAGGAATAAAGTTGGCATTAAGAAATCTTATTGAGATAAGACTAGACCTAGTTGTGCTAGGGTCAAAGTTTTGGTGGATCTTTTAGCTGATCATCCTAAAAAGGTTAGAATGGATATTGTGAATGAAGCTACAGGGGAAGTTAGAACAGAATGGATAACTATCAAATATGATATGTTGCCTAAATATTGTAAAGCATGTAGATTACAAGGGCATGATGACTTTGAATGCTGGAGGCAACATCCTGAATTATCACCTTATGATCAAGGAAAACAGAAGGAAACTAAAGGTAAGGAGCAGATTCACAAGCAAACTAATCAACCATTGATGATTTTGTCAAGTGGTAGAGTTGTAGGTAATGTGACTTCTAATGTAGAACAATGGAAAGAAGTGAGAGATAATCGAGGGAAGAAAAACAGCACCCAGGAAGCTAATGGAAAGGAAATAGTACCAATAAATCAAGCAAACTTACAGCAGATTCAGGGGCAGCAGGTGGAGGAGGTGATTACTCATAGACAGGTTGGGCAAGAAATTGTTCTGGCAAATGTTAACAATGTAATGCAAGCTCATAACTGTGGAGGATCAGGAAAGGAAAGTACTCCAGCAAACATTAATGTGCAACAAAGTAATGATATTACAAGGGAGGAAGTGATGGCAGATGGTTCAAATAATCAGCAAATTCAAACTTCTAACATGTTTGCTGTATTGGAGGTCCAGGAGGATGATGATGCAGGGATAAATCAAATAGTGGAAGTTGGAAATAAAAGCACTGTTAATTCTACCAAGAAACTAAATCATACAGCACCAGTATTTACTCCAAAATCTACTGGAATTGGAAGTACAACAAATAAGGAAGATAATGACAAGCACAAGAGCAAGAATAATGAAATGGTGGAAGACAATCAAAAAGATTCAACAGTAGCCTGGGTTAATAGAGCTTTCAATACTAATACTGTAGCCACTAATCAGTCTTGTCAGGAAGTTCCATCTCAGGCAACTGAGACTGATGCAAATTTGAGAAATATCAATGTTACTGAAGATATACAAGCAGAAGGGAGGAGAATATGGAGTCAGCAAGTAGAAGAGGATTCAGATGAAGGGGAACTGCCAGAAGGTGCATGTGGAGAAGTGGAATCATCAGATGAAGAGGTAGATCAAGAAGAACAAAGTGTCAATAACAATGACAAAGGACAACAGTCAGTGGGAAACAACAAAAAAGACAAGCAGAAACAGGGTGATAAGCCTGTAACAAATATGGATGGAGATGGAGCACAACTGATTCATAAGGATGTGCCTCCAGATAAATCCAAAGAATTACAGTTGACAGAAATGCAGCATGAAGTTAGAGTTGAGAATATAGGTGTATCAACTTCTATTCAGTCATGTGATATGGCTCCAGCTAAAGGTGACATACAATCAACACAATTGGTACACAAAGATCAAGACAAGGGTAATGCAGTAGTGGGGAAAGGTGATAGTCAGAATCAATTGGCAGAACCAAGGGTTCCATTGGTAGCAGCAGATGTTGTTAAATCAATAGGGAAAGATTTGGATGAAGAATCTACTACTCAAAATTTCCAGAAAATAGCAAGACAAGGAGACTTATCACCTAGACACATGGACATAGGAAAATCTGCAGGTAGAGGTAAAAAGAAGATTCAGAGAGAAACACAAAGTGTAGTTCCTGGGGTCCAAACAAGAAGGACCCTATCTAAATCTCACAATTAAATGATGAATGCTATTATTTGGAATGTGAGATCAGTGAATACAAAAAAAGCCTTTGAAAGACTTGTCAACATGCAAAGGCAACATCACTGTCAAGTAATTGGAATCATGGAACCAATGCAGGATCCTAGGAAGTTGGAAAGATACAGGAGGAAAATTGGCTTTGTTCAAGCTTTTTCTAATGTATCAAACAAAATATGGGTATTTGTAGATGATGATCATGGGGTGGATGTGTTGATCAACTCAGAACAACAGATTACTATAAAGGTGACAAATATGGATACACAGAACTCCTACATTATCACTTTTGTGTATGCCAAGTGTGATCCCATTGAAAGAATTGAACTGTGGGACAGCATGTACTATTTGGCTAGAGACATGACAAGTCCTTGGCTTGTAGCAGGGGATTTCAATGTTATAATGGATGAAGAGGAGAAATTTGGGGGGCTACCAGTATCACTAAATGAAGTTGCTGATTTTAGACATTGTGTTAATACATGTAACCTCACAGATTTAGGCTTTAAAGGCAGCATATTCACTTGGTGGAATGGGAGAGCTGGTGAGGATTGTATTTTTAAGAGGCTTGACAGATGTCTTGCAAATATGGAATTTCAAGAGATGTTTCATACTATAGAGGTCAACCATTTATCCAAAACAGGATCAGACCATAGTCCTTTGTTATTAACATGTAGGACATATGCAATTCCAATCAAGAAGGCTTTCAAATTCCTTAATTTTTGGATAAAGCATCCTACATTTAAGGCTGTGGTCAGAGACAACTGGAGAGTAGATT